ACTTCACATATAGAGGATTCTATGAGACGAAGACAAATGATGAACATAAGGGAAGGGAAACAAAAATAATATAAAAAACAGAGTGAGGGACAAAACATAAAGAGACTCCAAGGGCACATGGAGAACAAAACTGAGAGTTACAGGAGGGGCTGGGGAGAGGGATGGCGTTAAATGGGCAGGGCACTAAGTGAAAATCCTCCAATCATTGTTGCACTATATGCTAACTCAATTTATAATGAAAAAAAAAATTTTTTTTAACGTTTATTTATTTTTGAGACAGAGCATGAATGGGGGAGGGTCAGAGAAAGAGGGGAGACAGGGTGCACCTGAAGTATAGGTGGCTCTAGGTTGAGCTTGTCAGCACAGAGTCTCGCTAAGAGGCCGAACCCATGGACCGTGAGATCATGACCTGAGCCTAAGTTGGATGCTTAACCGACTGAGCCACCCAGGCGCCCCATTTGGATGTAAATTTTAAAAAATAAAAAATTAAATTAAAAAAATAAAAAATAAAATAAAATTTCAAAAAAAAGGGGGGGATGCCTGGGTGGCTCATTCAGCGAGGCACCTGATCTGATTTCATTCCAAGTCGATTCACGGTCGTCACTGGAGCCTTGAGCCTCCCAGAAAGAGCTTCAGACTGAGTGGAGGGAGCCTGCTTGGAATTCTCTCTCCTCCTCTCTCTGACTTTCCCTTGCTCACAGGCACGTGCGCATGCTCTCAAAATAAATAAATAAACTCTAAAAAAAAAGAAGAAGAAGAAGACAGAAGCTCTGTTTTGTGTTAACTGAGGTCATCCCTCTGGTGCCACATTCCTGTCAAGCCACACCCTTCTCAATACTCTTTCTGGCCTCATCTTCAGTCACTGCTCCTCCTGACTCCTCCCGTGTCTCTGACCAGCCCGTACAGAAAACACACCTGCCTTCTAGTCTTTTCTTCTCTCTCTTCACAGGCATACCTGGGGGACGGTGCTTGCAGGCCTGATATTCCTTCCCTCAACTCCCAGGTATGGCCCCAGGATCACCTTGGTAATTCCAGCTACTAGCTGCCTGCAGGCTCTAAAATCCACCTCTACCCATTCACACCCACATTCTCAAGTCCTCTCCTATTTTAGCACTGTTGTATGGCTGCCAAATTATTAGCACCATGTTGAGAAACAGCCAGAAAGTTTTTTAAAGCACTCCATATTTGCCACTCCTTATTAGTGTTTTTTTGTTCAGTCCTTGGCTCCAGCATCTAGGAAAGATGTGGAAGGGCTTGAAGAGAGCTTACTAGATAGCCAAGACAATGTAAAGGTTGGAGAATTTATGGGTAGAGCAGAAATTGCCTTTTCCTGAGAAAGAGGAAGCTGGTAAGACATAACGTGGTTCTGAGTGCATCTGAAAGATTATACTAACGTGGACAAGTCAATTTTCTTCATCCCTAGGTGGGGGCTGAGCAGGGGGAGTTATTAGTCTAGACTTTGGCTCTATAGAACAGTCCCCACTTAATCTACAGCACATTCCTAAAAAAGGGCCCAGAAGACAGAGCAGATCATTCCCTCCACTCACTATTATGGTTGGAATAATCACTCTGACTTTGAAGCCTGACATTATCCTTATTGCCACTAGATAAACTCTACTACCTTGACGAAGTGAAGTGCTGCTAACTGAACTACATTCCACATGATATATATAAATGGCAAATTTTATGCCATATATATTCTGTTACAATAAAACATGTTTTACCAAAATGAAAATACATTAAATCCGTTAGAAACACACCAATACGCAGGTTATGAGATAAAGAAAACCATTTAAGGCATGTTTTGGACTGCTATGTATGGACTGGCAATATGGAAAAGTGTTAAGAAGACTAGGCTCCTGAGGTCAGGAACAGTTTCCTCATAGTGAGAGCCCCCATGGCCAAAGAGGATGGCAAGAACGAATCTCTTTCTCTGAAGGTCAAACACCAGTTGAGAGCCTCAAAAATTAGATAGATAGACAGATAGATAAATAAAAGCAATTTAAAAATAATAAAAATAATAAAAATAAAAACCACTACTGACTGAGCCTCTCCTTTGGGCCAAGCACTGTACTCAATGTTTGTACATATGCCGTGTCATCTAACTCCCCACAGCAGACCTCATAAATGGTGTTGTGATATTCCTGTTTTTTTACTGGTGTAGAAAACTAGGGCTTGGAGAAGCACGGCTTAACGAAGATCACCATGCCAGTATTCAGTGAAACCAGAATGTGAGAAGAGCTCTATCTAGCTCCACAGCCCATGGTTTCTATGACACAGCACTGATTTCCGTGCAATCCAGCCAAGACTCAGAGAGATTCAGTTAGTCTCACACTCCCCAACTCACAGTCTCCTCTTCCGGGCATATAGTTGATGTAATCTTTCATCAACACCTGGTACCCATATCCTTCAGGATTAACCTCAAAATTCAGTTTCCTGATGAAAAACAGGAAGTTACCTCTGCAACCAGTACAGAACCATGTACCACTCCGAGACCTTTCAAGCACTAATATATATTTTAACAAATACGTGGATAAAACGTGCCAATGAATGTATATACATATTAATGCTGAATCAATTCTCTTCATTACGCAGTCAGGGCCTTGACCTCACGAAACCTGTGCTAACATTTACAGAGTACCTACTGCATACGAGGTCACAGTCTGAGTACCATGCAGGAATACTGAAAGATTAGAATCCATACTCCTTGCTTCCAAGACTTTGTAATTTTAGTATCGGAGGCAAGACAAATACTCAAAGGACACCGAAAAACAAAGGTGACGTACAAATGTGCAAATTAACTAAATAACGCCAAGTAATTTATATGTACCCAGTAATGTTCCTGGAAGATGTGTATTTAGAACATTGTTTAGACAGTCAATAAATGAGTGTGAAGATAAGAAACACCAAGTATAAGACATCCTTGGATAATCAACTGAGACTTAGTCTTAGGTTCATTTTTAAAGGCTACCAAAATTCCAGTCTATTACAAAAGGCAGTTTATAAAGGAATGTAGTAATTAATATGTAAAAGTGGTTATAAATCTTTTTAAATTTATTTCTTAACTACTATGGATATCAAGATTCTTTCCTTGTCTTGTTATCACCATCTCTAACACCATCTTTGCTCAGTTTTTCTTGACCAGGGCTGGGAACTGGCTATACCAAGACAAAAACCAGCATCATGAATACAGCCAAGCTCTACAACACATAAAAGCTACATCAATAAAAAGCAAGGCCACACAGAAGAGACTAAATAAGGAAAGGGGAGTATAAGTAATACCCATTAGTAAATAAGGTGAAGTATATTTTCTAAAAGCCAGAGATGGCGAATGAAGGCATAAATCTCCCTCCACACAGTGGGAATTTCCGAGTGGGTAAAGCATACAGCCTCTGTCATGGCTACTATTATATTCATGATGATTTGTTCTGGGAGTCCAGTTCCTCTTGTTTCAAATTAAATGCAACCCATACAGTCCTTCAGTCCACATCAGATGCTTTGGTTGCTATGTTGCTTACTTTTTAATCCAATACAACCATAATAACCTGAGTCAATGCAGACTCAATCTTCTCCTCCAAGTTGGGGCCCCTCTGTCACTCTCAAAGTATCCCTAGGCAGCTCTGAAACACAAAATCTTCACTCAATTTCTTGTCCTTCTTTTTTTAATCCATTCAAAACTCCTGATAAAAGAGCAACTGCCAGACCTGCAACACTTTAGTCTCTCTTTGGGGAAATGAAATTGATTTCCTTCATTTTTACACAAGAGGATCCCTGGGTAACAATATTGTGTCCGGTCATACCCATAAAAAAAAAAAAAAAAAAAAAAAAAAAAAAAAAAAAAAAAAAAAAAAAAAAAAAAAAAGGCAACATTCTTTACTGTACCAGAAGGCGGAGAGCTTTTGTGGAGTTCCTTCGGTGGAGGTTAAGAATTCAGCCTGATGCTGTTAGGTCCTAAGTTTATTAAGTATAAGGGTATCTTCTGACCTGGAGAGTAAGTGCTATTGGGCACCCCCATCTGCTCCAAATCAGTCAGCTGGGGTCATGGATGAGGGTGGGATGGGAGCGGGTAAGAGGCCAGAATCACATTGCTCCTGGTTTACACCCCCAAATACCTTTCCTTCTCTTCTTGCCACACCTGACTAAATGAACAATCATTTTCTGCTTTTGACCTTTTGACTCTAAGATAAGGAATACCTGAGGGCAATTTCCAAAGGGAAAATTACAACAGAAAAGAAAAAAAACAGCAGAACTTTGGGCACCACCTTTTCCAACACCCAAATTCATTAGTTGTATAGGTTTTACAGAATTCAGAAGGTTTAGAAGATGGCCTTAACCTAAAGGAAGAATATGAAATATTAGAACAGTAGCTCATCAACATTTTTTAAAAGCAACCTTCTATGGGATTACAATATGTAACAACAATAAGAACGAAGGTGCTCTAGTTGAAGGGAGGGTGTGAGCCTGGAGCCCCACCAGCTCAGCCTCCCCTGCTCCCAGCCCAAACCACGAGAAACACTTGGTTCTGTCAAACTCCACTGATAAGCACCAACCTAGAGAAAGAACACAGCTACTCAGAACATGCACACTAACATATAAAAATCTCCTCCTGGCCCTGAGGACTACCAAGGAAGCCTCCAGAAATATCTCCCATGGCTTTTGCAGGAAGAACACAACCCCTACCAATCACTCTGCTTTCAGTATATAGCATGGAGCTTAAAAAGCATCTCTACTTCTCAGTGTTCGCTCTCCCTTCTTGTTCTTATGGGTCTTCTGCTGAAGTTTGGCACAAAATACTGTGGATAAACAGTTCCGCAGTATACTCTAGAATTAAGATGCTTAATTTTCCATATTTTCTCTAAGTTTTTTACTTGGGATGCATTTAGTAGCTGATATCCTGAAAAAGTCTTCTTCCATGAGACAGAAAAAAATGTAGCCCATTTCTCAAAGTCCAAATCTCCTTAAATAAACATCAAAATCATTAATTAGCCACGAGAACTAACCTGCAGACACGGGCTGGAAAATATAATTTCTGCCAAGAACGACACAGATACTGCGAATGATCAATCACTCTGATCCAATCAAGTTCATCCATTGACACTTCAATGAAGTATGAGTAAGACCTATGAATCAAAAGGAAAAAGGCAGAAAAAACCATATTAAAATAACAAAACCACATTATACTTTAATAAAACGTTAAAGGGTACAAAAACTACAGTATTCACTAATTACATTTTCTGCCTAATGGTCATATTATTCTCCATAACAATCAAATTCAGAAAATAATAACATCTGCATAGATCCCTGTATTGTAGCATTCACCACAACGTATCGAGATTATCCCTCGGGCACATCTGTATGCTTTAGTAGACCACAAGCTGCTTAAGAACAAGGATCACGCCATATTCGTCTTCACATATTTGGGGTTTAGCATGCTGTTTGGCACATATCTGGCACACAAGACATTTGCTCCTTTTCAAACAGAGCCAGCTACCTTGCTCCTACTACATCAGCAGATTAATAAAGCCATGACAAGAGACAGGGCAGAAAACAGACAAGTAAGAGGTATGCCTTCTCCTTCTGCCTTCCCTAGTCTGGGTGCTCAGCCCTATTCTCTCAGGAAAGCCAACTCAGAATGGTTCCCAGGAAAGGCCAGCTTATCTCCTGCTCCCTCCCAGTCTCCCACAATCCCACATATACATCCAGCCTGAAGAAAAATAAATGACATGGGTGAAGAGATAATGTGTGTTTCTTTGGGATACAACAAAGAATTTGGCAGCTAATAATCCAGCAGTAATGAAAATAGCCTATCACCCTCCCCTAGTCAGCTACCCTGGACCATTAGATGCTGGTCCCATGCTGAACCAATCTATATTCCCCTGTCATAAGCCAAATTTAAATTTGAGATGCAGTTATTACTTGTACTGTAATATCAACAGGAACAATCTCGGAAGATTTAGGTGACCATAAATGTCAGCCTGCAACTAACAGTTGTGACCAGAAAAGGTCAGCTTATTTTGTGTCATCCCCTCATTTTCTGCTGCCCCCTCATTCCCATTCATTTTATTGCTCGGTCTCAAACTGGTTATAACCTTTTATTGAACCTCTCTGGGTTATCAGGAATGCAGGATATAATTTTACAACACATGTCAGAATCTTTTGGGCTTAAGATTCTGCATTTTTCACCTTTGCTTAGAATGATAACCACTTCTGTGAGAAAAGAACTGCTATGTGGGAAAGTTAAGTCCCCCGTGAATGTAAAGCACATACTAAAACAAAGTGGCCCATAAATATTTAACATCATGGAAACGATAATAACTACTTTCAGTTTCAAACATACTAACCTTTTCTTTTATTATCTTTATACTAATTTCATTATTAATTAAATGAGTGAATATACGCAAAGCTTTGAGAATAGTACTGATCACATAAAAGTAATGAAAGTGCTATATAAGTATTATTATTGTTATACTGTTATTATTAATCCAGAGACTCTTGGAAATGATATGTGAATTAGCTCCATTTTGCCAACTAAACATCATATTATATCCAACAAGATACATATCAGAAAATACATTCTTTTTTTTTTTTTGAGAGAGAAAGAGAGAGTGAGGAGGGGGGAGGGTGAGGCGAAAGAGGATCCAAAGCAGGCTGCTCACTGACAGCAGAGACCCCAATGAGGGGACTGAACTCACGAACCATGAGATCATGACCTGAGCTGGAGTCGGAGGCCTAACTGACGAGCTTTTACCCAGACTCTCCCGCAGGAAATCATTCTAAATTTTTTTTTTTCTTTCAACGTTTTTATTTATTTTTGTGATAGAGAGAGACAGAGCATGAACGGGGGAGGGGCAGAGAAGAGGGAACAGAATCGAGCAGGCTCCAGGCTCTGACCATCAGCTCCAGAGTCGACGCTGGCTCTAAACTCACGGATCATTAGATCGTGACCTGGCTGAAGTCGGACGCTTAACTGACTGCGCCACCCAGGCGCCCCAAGGAAATACATTCTTAATAAAAAAGAAACAGATGAAGATAACCTGGGGACCTTGAACACCTATGCCTATGGGAAACATTGACTCCTACCTCATAAAACTTCCTCATTTTTGGTTCAAATGGCTTAAAAGAGTGATGGCCAGTGGTGCTAAGAGAAATGAATTAACGTGCAAGATTTACAAGGTATCATCACCATTACTATCAAGTCCTCCATACCCAGGCTCAGTGGCATGAGTAGGGCCTAGGAGACTCTGTATCAATTTCTGGGTATGTAGGGTTTAGGTTAATGATGGGCAGTGATGAGAAAGACAGTTCTTGGTCACCTATACTGCTCTACTACTTCTGAGCATCATGGCTGAACCCTAGAAACGACAGTGGGTGAAAGTGTCAGAGGTGCTAGTAGAAGGAAGGCAGAATCTTGAAGCCACTACAAACTGGGGGGTTCCTAGGCTGGAGCCCATCAAATTTTTTTCACAAACTTCCTTTGTTTTGAGGATGATTATTTATACATATACTAAAAGAGAACTTATTTTCTTCATTCATAGGGTAAAATGCATTTAAAAGGTTATAATGTCCAAAAGTGAAGAATGAAGTAAATAAGTAATGGTAACCCAGGTGGTGAAATACCAACCACTGAAAGTAATATTTTAGACGAGTATTTCTAAAGAGTAGAATGTTCACAACTACAAAGTGAAGTCAGCCTTCAGACATCAAATCTTCATTTTATAAAACTATACGGTTTTACAGGTTTCTGTTTTGTGTATGTACATGTGCGTATAACTAGTTAAATATATACAAAGTTGGATAATTACATCTATACTAGATATATGCAAAGATTATTAATGGCTGGCAAGATTACTAACAATTTCTATTTTCTTCTTTGTGCTTTTCTATATTTTCTGTTTTCCATGATAAACACATATTCATTACTTTTATAAACAGAAAAAAAGCAAAAAAATGTTTTTTTAAAAGGAATATAGCCTTTCACTCTTCTCCCAGAACTAAACTTTAGGAGAAATGGCAAAACAATCCCAAGGAAATAAAGCATCAAACTGTAAAACCAAAGGAGATGACCACAAAATGAAGCCAATTCGATCAAATATAATGTCATTTTCTGTCCAAGTCATGCTAATCACTCACCGGCTATCTCGGTCCCACAGGAGTATCCGTATGTGATTGATAATAGATGGCTGACCTAGCTTAATCTCAATGCCAGAACGGCAGTCATCATCAATTGGGTGCCTAGAAAATCCATGATCCAAATCATAATTTTGAGTATCACCATCTAATAAGGCAGACTTCAGCTCCCCTTTTACAACCTGGGCTCCATACTTCATAGTTGCAATATTTTCTTCTGGTACTACAATTAAAAATAGGAAAGCAAGGTTAATGGTTACTTAGTAAATTATTCTATATTGTAGGGAAAAAGACAAATTCTAATATTCTAGTTGATTCTATTATGTGCATTTAATTAAAAGTGGCAGAAACAAGTCTACAGAGATAGAAGACATGGAATGTCTACGAGGGTTAAGATACCACCTACCATTTAGATTTAATGACGCCAGCATAGCCACAAAGTGCCTAAGACTAGTACTACAAGGAAGAAGCTGATAATAGTAGGAAAAAAAACAGGTACTAGGGCAAACAAACCAGCTCTGCAGAGTTCACTCTATTAGGAGCTTTAATTTACTATCTACAGGACAAAAATGCCATATAAGATGACCTGTACCCGCCATCTGGACATATAAAAGCAAAGCAGAGAGGTCAGATATCTGATAAGACAACAGAAGAAGACACGTTCCAATACAGTGGAGATACTGGGCATGGGCCATACACACAGACATGCTGAAGCAGTTAATCTAGCTAATAAACAGTATGTTTAAAAGAAGATCTATTTTTACTTTAATTGAGATTTTTAAAAACGGAAATTCAGTCTGTCATCAAAATCATTATTATGGTTATAATTAAGCCCCCTCCCCTCTCCAACACTAGATTTATTAAGTGTCATTTGTTCCTGGAACTCTGAAGTCCTCTATGCAAAGGCTGCTTCACAGAGCTAGAGCGTGTTTTCTAGGTGCTGGCATTTTGACTGACACTCTCCGTGGAAAGACAGGAGGCAGCATAAAGCAGATGTTGAGAGCCTGAGCTTCAAGGTCAGAGTTCAAATAGGGGCTACACCTTTAATGAGGCAAATGACTCTGGGGAAGTTACCTTCTCAGAACTTCAGTTTCTCAAGAAGGCAATATCTAGACCCAGATGTTTTTGTTTATTTGTTGCAAGGATTAAATGAGATAATGTTTGTGAAGCACACAGTAAGCTAAGAAAAAACATGATCATTATTATTATGAAACATACTAAAAAACAGACAATAATAAGAGAACTAAGTAAGTTCACAGACTGTAAACAAATACTGAATTCTCACAGTACAAGTACATCTCAGCTATGTGATTTGAATAGGGGAAAGTTTGAGTTTAATTAGACTCTTAGTGAAAGGGGGTAATTCATCACTGCATATTTCTTCCAAAATGTGGGTTTTAAAAACATTTTTTGGGGCAGCTAGGGGGCTCAGTCAGTTGGGCATCTGACTCAGCTCAGGTCATGATCTTGCAGTTCGTGAGTTCGAGCCCTGCATGGGACTCTGCACTGACAGCTTGGAGCCTGGAGCCTGCTTCAGATTCTGTGTCTCCCTCTCTCTCTCAGTTCCTCCCCCACTTGCACTATCTCTCTCTCTCTCTCAAAAATAAATAAAGATTAAAAAAATTTTTTTTAACATTTTTCAAATGAAGCCAGGTGAAGGGAGTGGCTCCAGAAGATAACAATAAATGCTGCTGACAATGGGGACTGGGTAGGTTTAGTTAACTTGCAAAAGGCTAAGGCAACTCAGAAAAAACAAAACAAAACAAAACCTAGTCAGGCTCAACCTTTTTCATGATGAAGTGATACAGGTTTAGAATTTCCTGAGTTCTCTTAGTTCATGGTAATCATATATATGCATTCTTGTAGTCTGCTTCCAGGAGCCCTGCCTGCCACCTGCCTTGTAAGGGTTTCTGATGGGAAGACACATTTACCCCTCTCTCCAAACCCTTCCCTATAGGGTCGCCTGAGACTCAGAGGGAAGAAAACAGAGCCTGGTACGGTGTTTTAAAAAAAAGAAAGTTGGATTTAAAGTGAGAAAACCTACGTCTAAGACTCAGGCTCTACTCCCCACTCCCCCTGAGTGAGGCCTGTCAGTCTGTATGGATCGGTTTTCTCATCTACAAATAATGCTGTGCCCAACCCACTCACTGGATTACTGTAAAGATCATACTACAAATAAGATATGCTACAGGATCATGGGAAGTGTAAAGCATTCAAACAGTCAAAAAACCCTTACCGAGGACTCAATCTGTACCAGGTACCACTGGAATGCCTCAGAAAGGAAGACAGAGATGGGCCCTGCCCTCCTGATGCCTCCAACCAAGAAATGAAGCTTTTCATAAAGCAAGCAAACAAAAACTTCCAATCTCCACTTTTCAGTGCTAATAATGCGTAACACTGGGTAAAAAGAGGTATTTTCTCCCTTACTGCTGAGTGTAAAATGGGGGGGTCTGAAGTCCGTTGCCGCAGACCACTGGAACCATCTCCACCAGTTCTGCCACCACCAGTCAAGACCAAGCCAAGAAGGGGGGAACTCAAGCTTTCAGACTTAGAAATGGCTGCCACCCTTTGATTTTCTCTAAACACAAGCATCTTCTTCTCTAAAATTTATCAAGCTCACAACAACACACTAGGCATAAGGGTTTCAAGTGACTGTAACTAAAAGTCTAAAATGGAAATGAAAGTGCTACTGCAAGTCTAAAGTCTTCTTCTGAAGTTTATTTCAAGGGCGCTTGAGAACTTTTCTAACTGTTCTTGACAGATTCCCTGAAAGTATCTTTCACTTTAAAATGGAGAACACTGGGGCGCCTGGGTGGCGCAGTCGGTTAAGCGTCCGACTTCAGCCAGGTCATGATCTCGCGGTCCGTGAGTTCGAGCCCCGCGTCGGGCTCTGGGCTGATGGCTCAGAGCCTGGAGCCTGTTTCCGATTCTGTGTCTCCCTCTCTCTCTGCCCCTCCCCCGTTCATGCTCTGTCTCTCTCTGTCCCAAAAATAAATAAACCTTGAAAAAAAAAAAAATTTAAAAAAATAAAATGGAGAACACTTACACAAGTGGCAAGCCTCTCATGGTGACCATAATCGGAGTATCTCACGGGATAAAAACACAACCCCCAAGTATTTGTGTGTGTCTATGTGCACGTGCGCACACCTGCACACACGCGCAAGACCCACAGTTAAAGGTAAGAAGAAAAGTGACCATAAATGTATTCTTACTGCCTAATATCTATCAGTCGAGAAAAGAGCTCTCAAAAAATATAGGGTGTTAGAGATTAAACGCATAGCGGGTAACAACAGTTTTCTTAACATTTGTGATTTTTGATACACTGTACAAACATGAAGAAAAAAAATAAGCTTTGAAGTTCCACAGGTAGGCAGAAACAAGCCAATTATTAGAAAGAAAAGCTAACGAGAAATGGAGTAGGACCTGCTGCTAGCGACACAGTGCCAAAATCTGAGTGGTTCTAGGTTAATTATCTTGTGTTTTTCTTTAGTTGTGTTATGTTCTTACTCCTCCTTTATTGAACTTTCTATTACATCTAGGTTGAGATAGCTGTCCACCCCTGATGGGTCATTTGGAGCCATACTTGGTTCTCTGCCCACTGCAATCTCTTTACCTAAGTCTGTGCCCCAATCATCTTCTACTCCCCAACCTGACATCCCTGAAAAAATGTGTGGCTCCTCCCTTCCAACACGTGTGGCACTACACGTGGCCTTCTTGACAACTCTTGTCTTCCCTTGACTCGCCCCATTATCTCCACTCTCTGCAGGCCTCCTTTCCACATTTAACAGTACTGGTGCTCAAACACACCAAACACAAAACAGAGATAGAAAATAACTCCAGCAGGAGACTTTACCGAAGAGCACCAGCCTCCTGAGTCAGAGCAGCACTGGTTCCGGCTCAGGCATTGATTTCACTCAGTAACTTTAGGCAAGTTACTTATAAAGATCACAGAATGAAAACTTCTAAGAGCCGAATGGGACCTTCATCCTATTTATTTAAAGAAAAAAAATTTCTAAGCTGCCTTCTGTGTGCTGGACTGTGCTGGACTCAGAAGCTCACCATCTAATACAGACAAGTGCATATCAGACATGAAATGCCTCCACAGAAGAACACTCAGGAGAGATTCTTTGTGAACCCCCCTAGTTTACAGATGAAGATACTACGAACTATAGAAGATAAATAAAAGAGGAGTCAAAGGGTTGTGAAAGTATTAAAGGTTCACTGCTGTTATTATAGCCTGTATGTGACAGGTGAGACATTTTGAAATCTAGTCTAGAAGCAAGGGATGGATCCATTCAGTCACCCATTTACTGTGAAAAGTCTAGATTTGGGCACTGTGCTAGGTGCTGGAAAACAGGGGTGAAAGGCATAATTACAGTCCTCAGGAAGCTCAGTCTTGTAGGAATCTAGGCAAGAAAAGCAAGAGGGGCAAGCTTTCTCCATCTGAGTTACTGGAAACTATAAGAAGGGCTACGTGGTACCATGTACCTACAACACAGATTTAAACACACACACATATTTACATATCAACCAATAATTTAACTTAGCAGTCCGATTAACAGATTGACTTTTACTCAATAAAGAAATTTTAGAATGGAAGTTGTGATAAGCTCCCTGCTATAAACATGAAGAAGCAATATATTACTGTACTCTTTCTCAAAGTCTAAAACCTAAGACATGCAATACAAAGTACAACTCAGCCCAAACAGAAAAAGCACTAACTTTCAAGGTAGAAAGGGCTCCATAAGACAAAACTAAGCATTAAAGGAATGGTCTGAGTGCTAGTAGTTCAAATACCCTAAGGGGGAAAAAAATAATTTCATTAAAAATTAATTCCTTTTCCCCAGGTGTATGTATAAAACTAGTCAAAACCACCTTCTCAGGAAGACTAACCATCAATGGTAAATTAAAAACATCCTTTGGGTACCCCCCTTTTTTTTAAGGAGGAAAAAATTGCTGCAATTTGGTTAAAATCCCCAGGATATACAGCTTTAAGTGTACAACTTTCCAGAAACTAATATTAATAAACTCAAAGTAAGACCATTAGTATCTGTGCTGCCCCTAGTCCAGAACAGAACCTCTCCACAGTTCATGAAAAGTCCCCAAAGACACAGAAACTATACCCTGGGAAAACAATGACACAAACAAATTTGGTCAATAGTTTCAAAATAAGCAGAACTATTGTTCCAGAACATCCCAGGAACAGTTCTCAAATTTTAGACCCTTTTTTCCTAACAGTGAAGAAATGTGATAAAACAATATGTTTGGATAACATTTACCTAGAAAATAACCCATATTTTTAGTATCTGATAGGAAAGTGATATGCATCCTTAGTATTGATAGTATTGATTTTGCTATCCATATAGTTAAAAAGTGTGAAAAACAGCCTGCTATTTATTCATTTCTCAAGTTCACAAATTAGATAAAAGATTCCCAAACATCTATATAATCTCTTCCTTGAGACCCCACTGAATTATTCCAGAATGAGGAATTTAATACTTATGAGTAGTTTAAGTACAGTAAATATATCATTCCAGAACTGAGTAGTCCCTTTCATGGTTATTTCATGGGTTTATTATAACCCATGTCTAATACCTATACTTATCAGTTGGTCAATTCTAAGCTACCATTAACTATGTGAAATGTCCAAAGCATCTCCCTCCCACAAAAATGTACCAAACCTATCCTAACAGCAAATCCAGTTATAGGGTCTTCCCAACACCTCAAACCAAAGCCAGGGCAAGAAGGGGAAAAAAGAAACTTATACAAGAGGATCTGACAATGAGAATTTAGAAAGTCTAAAAGTATATTACTTATCTTGTTATCTCTCCCCCGTCCACCCTCCCACACTTTAATCCAAGGCTGACCCTCAACTAGGACCACTCTCTAGCACCTCCAATCTCCACCCGGACCTTCCTCGACCTATTCCCTCTGGCTACCAAACTATTTCTCGACTGCCTTTCACTCCAATTTACACACTGGACGGTCAACACATGGTACTTACTGTCTTTTCAAACCTATGGCCTAATTCCCCCCGTTTAGTCAAGCTTCTGCCCAGACTACTCAGCAACCCACCACAATTTATACCCCAAGGTTTTCTCTCAATTCTCGTTCTTCTTATATCTCAGCATCACTGGACACCTGTGACCACCCTCTCCATATAAAAGTTCTCTCCTCTGTCGGCTTCTGTAACCCTACCCCGTTTTCTTCCTACTTAATTCTTCCTTCTCTACCTTTAGCCCCTTGGCTAAAGCTCTTCTCCAAGTCTCAGACTTTGATCTTCACTTCTTTCTCTACACTCTAGCCCAGGTTTCAACTCTTTCTTCACCAGTTCTGATTGCTTCCTAAACTCCAGTAACATGCTTGCACTGCTATTAGACATTTCTCCTGGAGTTCATGCACCAAATGTCTCCTATATGCTATAGAGTATGTTAAAGGGTACAAAGATTAACAGGCCGTACAAAGACCATCTCTGCCTTCGAGGACCAAAGACAAACAAAAAATTTTAAAACAATGTGACCAGTGTGATAATTCCTACAGAGACACATAAAGATGAGGAAGAATACAAATAATGATAATATAAACAATCATTTCCTTGATTGAGCTTACAGATGTTATTTGCACGCATTATTTCTTTTTTTTTTAAATGTTTATTGATTGATTGATTGATTGAGAGGGACAGACAGTATGCAAGCAGGGGAGGGGCAGAGAGAGAGGGAGAGAGAGAATCCCAAGCAGGCTGCGCACCAAGAGTGGAGCCTAACATGGGACTCCATCTCACAACTGCAAGATTCATGACCCGAGCCAAAATCAAGTGTCCAATCGCTTAACTGAATGAGCCACCCAGGCACCCCTGGACACGTTATTTCAATTAATTCTCATAACAATATAAGGAAATGTTAAAACTGAAGGTAAAATTCCTTACGTAACTTAATACCAGGTCACACAACTAGTAAGTGACTCATTCCGGATTTGAGGTCAAACTTGTCTGGCTCCAAAGCCAGTGCTTTTTCTTCTGTGCCCAATGAAAAGGAATCTAAATCTGATGGGTCAGGAGAGAAGTCCAAACTAAGGACACCTATTTAAGATCAGTCAGTTTTCAAGAAAATGTCTGAAACATGGTCAAGGAAAAGATCATTCAGGGAAATGACTAACATGAGACAGAACTCAGAGTACTAAGATGTTCCAGAAACCCTCAAACTCAGTAAGTCTAAAAACAAGCTCAGCATCTTTGGAGAACTACCACATTTCATCAATTCTAAGACAGAGTTTTTCAAATTTTAACATTTCTGAAGTTGAGACACAGACATGATGGTATGTCATGGTTTAACTGGCAATACTGTTTCCTTTCTTAGTGGTACATAACACAATGGGACCTCAAAACTTCTGGTTTCTTAGATTTGATAAAATATGGTTAACTTCCTCCCAAACTTAATCCTCAGATTTAAATCCCTTAAATCACCAAGATCTGATTTTTTAGAATATAAAATTTCCATCTTCCCTACTACCACTCTAGTTTATCAACCTTACACAAGTCAGACACCTACCCAGCTGGTCTCCCTGAATCGTTTTTCACTATTTCAAATCAACAAGTATTACATCATGGATCAATCTTTCAAGACCACCACCATACTCATGTCTCTCTTCCTCTTGAAAATTACCTTCTGGTTGTGTGTAAGCCAGATCCCAAGCTACTTTGAAAGACTTCTATGATTTTGCCTGAGCTGACCATTACAGCCTGTGTTGTTTATCAATGCAAGCCTTCTACCTCTAGCTGAGCTCTCCTGATGACGGTCCTTGAAATGTCCCACCTCGGCTCTCAGTCATAACCAGTCCTCCCCTGTGAATACACTCTGCCCCAATACCCCTCGCATCAAATGTTAGGATTCATCTCAGGCTTCATAATCTCCATGAAATCTCCCTCAACCCTTCTGAACCTAGGTTCCCTTTAGAAGTTCACAGCATGTGCTCGTCTTAAACACTGTTGTACTGAACTTTTCATGGGAGTAGATCTTATTTCCACAAGGAAATTAAAAAGGCTCAAATGCAGAGACTATTTTGCATTTACACACACAGCGTAGTGGTTAATTACACAGCCTACCTAGTAGGTTTGACTCTCAGCTCTGTATCTTTCTGTGTGACCTTCAGCAAATTATTTAACCTCTCTGTGCTTCAGTTTCCTCATTTGTGAAATGGAGCCAATAATGGTAGCTACTTCAAAGGGTTGTTTTGAGAATTAAATGATCATGTAGAGAGGCGCCTGGGTGGCTCAGTAGGTTGAGTGTCTGACTTCAGCTCAGATTGTATCTCGCGATTCTTGAGTTTGAGTCCCATCTCAAGTTCTGTGCTAACAGCTCCGAGCCTGGAGCCTGCTTTGGATTCTGTGTCTCCCTCTCTCTCTGCCCCGCCTCCACTTGCACTTGTCTCTCTCTCTCTCTCTCTCAAAAATAAACATTTAAAAAAATGATCATGTAGAACTATTACTGATATATATAAGCACCTTGTGTTAACCACTATTATATTTATTAATAAGAAAAATCACATAAGTGTTGGAAATGTAACACAAGTGTTAGCTACTATTATTATTTAGAATATCCATGTTCACAGGACCTAAAATAGTAAGCGTGTAGCACATACTCAGTGCTGATGTGATGAAGGAAGGCACGAAAGGTCTTAGCATGAGAAGCTGTTTGGAAAAGTGTCTATTTCTGACATTTTAGGGAACAGCTAAAGAAATCCATCCAGAAATGGCAAGAAATCACTACTTTGGGGTCTGCAAAGGCTCACCAGTCTCTGGAGGAATTAAGAGGAGAACAACAGGAAACAGAGCTGTATGTTCTTAGACCCACACACCACATATACCTGCAACTAGAGTTTTGTGGCTCGTTTTGTAGCTGAAACTATCAGACGAGGGAGAAAACTTCCTAAGGAACGCAGGATAAGCAGGTACTCACTGAGCATGCCTCTGTAATTGAGGTCCATATCCCGGCTCTCAGATCGAACTTTAATAGCATCCAGAATGGCATCAGGAGACAACAGTCCTGAAGGCCTCACAACATTCAGAAGTTCAGTGAGGCTCATCAGAGGCAAACGCACAGCCTGCATGATTTCAGCATGATTCTCCTTTGAATTGTGCTTACACCAATTTAACAAGGCTAGGAAGATATCTTTTTCGGGAGCTGCAAATGAATCTCTTAATACGATGTTTAAAAGTGCTGTCTGAAAAGGACAAAGCAAAAAATTCCAGTTATCAAGGAGCTCAACCATGTGTATGATCAATCAGCAAAATGTTACAGAACTGCAGGTATCACTTATATCTCAGCAACTCTCTTTGACCATCTTCTTTCTTTAACCTTCGTGCCATATACTCTCTTGCCCATAAGGGCTCCATGAATAGCCATGGGCATCTTTAACCACTACACCAAATGTCTAGTTTTTCCAACACATCCTCTGTGCACCTATCTTCAATAAAACAAGAAGAAAAATGGCAGCATGGGGGGCTGTCATTCCATGCAGGTTCTTCAGGAGAGTTTACATTTAGAAATCAGTCAGCGGTGCCTGGGTGGCTCAGTCGGTTGAGAGTCCGACTTCGGCTCAGGTCATGATCTCGCATTCGTGGGTTTGAGCTCCACATTGGGCTCTGTGCTGACAGCTCAGAGCCTGGAGCCTACTTTGGATTCTGTGTCTCCCTCTTTCTCTCTGCCCTTCCCCTGTTCACATGCTGTCTCTCTCTGTCTCTCAAAAAAAAAAAAAAAAAGTTAAAAATTTTTTTAAGTCAGTAAGATACAGCTGGAATTTAAAATTCGAAATCTTTTGCTCCACGGCATTACTGCACTCCCATATTTTTGGTTCTCAGATTTCTAGACTGACCTCCAGTAACCTTGGTGTGACCCTTGAAGACCCTTGCCTCTAAAAAGTAAGTAGGATAATAAAAATCATAGTTTACACTCAAGCCAAAATACATAGCTTTTCAAATAGGTTTTTTCATGTGAAATATTCAGCTTCTAGGACGAACACAAAAAAGGAAAGGAGAGACAACCACCAGGGTTCAGAGAATGATTTTGAGCAAAATAGTGTGACTATTTTTTTCAGCCAGCAAAACAAAACAAAACAGCAGTGACTTAAAGACACCCAATGATACATCAGATCTCTTTTATGAATTTTCCCTCCCATAATATGGAATTATTAGTTGCACTCTCTGTTGGAAAAATACAAAACCAAAACATAGTATGCAACACCACAAAGGAACCTATTTGACTATCATCACACTGATGATACCGCTCTGTAGCACAGTCTCTTTTACACATAGAACCTACCAGAAGAATCTTAAAAAAGAAACCAAAAGCAATTTGCCTCTCTTTTATATGATCTACACAGAGTCTCAGTAGCCAGAGGCAGGTGGCTAGACAGATGACCTCTTCTAGACCGATGATTTTTACTTTTTTTAATCTCAGTCTATTGCTCTACTCTTACAGCACAGATCTAAATTGTACAGGGCATGCCTGTGAAGTTCTTGCAGATGATGACACACCTTAGAAAGGGAGAGGAAGCCTTCACTTGAGAGCACCTCCTGAGCATTTCTGTCCATAAACAAGCAGCACATGCAAGTTAACTTGGGAAGTGAGTAGAGGCTGGCAACATCAAAAGTCATGCAGACATTCTGAATGTTAAGTATGGTGCAGAGATACTCAGAGGTAGAGTCCTCCAGCTCTGGAAATCCATATTTATGAGCTAGGCTCAGAAAGTCCAGCAACACCTCCTCCTTCTCATCTGTCAGCGTTGCCCGCCCGGTGTAGATGTATTTTAGCAGCATTGTGAATGCTTCTGCAGTGGTGTCTTGAAGAGGGATTTCTGCTTCAGGCTGAGATTCTCGCATCCCACCATACAGTAACGCTCTGCACATGAGAGAAGAAATGCGTAAGGAAAACCTCCAATAAGATTTGCCACAATATCATGAAACGATGGTTAGCAGCATTATGCAAACGTAAATTTGTTTAGTGACACAAAGATTCAGGTGAAGAAATGCATAGTAATCACTTTATTTCTCTAAAGGAAGAGAAATTATTTATATAAACTATTTTGGATTAATTCCATAAACAATTGGACTAATGAAATTATCTTGAGACCTCAAATATGTAATAAACATTCATTAAACAGAAAGATGAAAGTACTCTTTTGAAAGGAACAGCAAAATCCGTATAAACATATTAAAGATAGATAAGGATGTTTAAAAAATAAAAATCGTAGGAAAAGATATAATCAGATAAAAACAATTACAGACACTCACGTGCCATTCTCCCCTGTCAGACTGGCAGAAATTAAAAATCCTGTTAACTATTCAGTGCTGCAAAAGCAATAGAAAAACAAGTTCTCTCATGCACTGCTTTGAGCCTATAAATAGGCGCCCTTTTGGAGAAAGTAATTTAAGTAATCTGTTAGGACTCAATTCTAGAGAAATAATACAGCAAAGCAAAGATACATCTTAAGAATGTATACTGAAACAATGAAAATGTTGAAAAAAAATTTTAAATGTCCATCAACAGAAATGCACTTAAAAAAATGGATATATGCATTCTATACAGCTATTACAGAGATAAAGAAGATCAATATATACAGTCTTGGAAGATGTCCAGGATACGGTAGATAAGTCAAGTTGTAGACCCACATGGGTTGCATGGAAAAAAGCATATACCACATAATTATACGTGTATGCACATAGGTAATGTGATATGTCTATTTATATTGAGAAAAATCAGGGGAAATTCATCTTACACTATTAACAGAGGTTGTCTCTGGGGAATGGGATTAGATGGCTGGTAGGGAAGGACTTCCATTTGTTACTTTATAAATTAAAAATGAAACTGGCGATGGGATTATGGGTGATTTAACTTTTTTTTTCCTCCTGTCTTTTCAGTATTTTTCAGATTAAAAAAAATCCCCATATTATTGCTTATCTGCTCATCTAAAAAATGAAAACCAGACAATCCAGTCAGGCAATGAATTTGAATTTCTACTTCTATTACTACAGGAGGAATAATATGAGCCAGTTAAACCTCTAATCCATCAGGAAAGAAAGGGCAGCCAGAGGAGGACCAGGGAGGAGTGCAGAAAAGGACAGTACAAGTGAGAAAGGAAATGTGTAAAAGTGAAAACAAGACAATAAGGGGGGGAAAAGAGACTCCCCCTGCTCCTAAGATTCTCAGAGCAGGACTAGCATTTCAAGGGTTCCCTCCAATACCTGCTGGAACTTCTCCCACCCTCCCCAGGCCTTGGCATTCTGGCTTGCCTCAGGGCAACAGCTGAAACCATCCAGGCAAAGATTCACAAATATTCTGAGCATACTTCTTCACCCGGTTATATACTCTGCCTAAAAACACTCTTAAAGGTTTTCAATAATCCAGAGAGCACTCCACCATGACCTTAAAATTACTAGATTAAAGAATACTTTCCTAGGGAGGGCTCGCCAAGACTTACTCCCCCTGCAGAGTGATCCATGGTATTTACCTAAATTCTCAATACTTTAAAAGTGGTTTTCATGGGGCTCCCTTAGAACACTAAATATGAACCCCCAACTTGTGAAAAATCCCCTCTTGTACAGTTAGTTTGTCCTTATGTGGGAATTGATAGGCTTTATGACAACACTAGGGCCTCTCCTAAATTTCCTTTGCATATGAACAGTGTCTGCAATGAGAATCTAAGACAGCTTTGGTAATGACTCTGAATTCAGCCTAGTGAGCCATCATAGATTATAAATGTTTAATATCCACAAAGAGACACCAAGAACAAGTTCAGTAAGCGAGGGGAGTACATTTCCATTCATTCAAAATGATCTTCAAATTTCTAAAAGTATGTGAGTTTCTTTTAAGAATATCCTGAACATTTAAAGGTACCCACACACAGTTGTCTCAAATCATTTTTGAAAGAAGAGAGGCATATAATATTAACAAACATAAAACATAAGGCTGAAAAGTTCTGACCTAATAAGGAATGGTCTCTCAAACACTTTAATAGTAATGAGTGGACTAAAACTAAGAAAAGTAAGAAAAGACAGAAACACAAAGGAAGAGTGTGCAGAGGACAGAGGCTGGTAACGAATAATGACTAGACCAAGGCCAGCAGTCAGGGTTGAGCTGACCACCAGCAGGGGGAGTAGGACAGTGTGCGCTCTCTTTTCGAAGCTCCTGGCTTTATCGACAGTGGCATTTTATATGTACAAAATGGAATGCTCTAAAAATGTTTAAAATGTACTAAACACGTTCTAGATAAATGGTAAATATTTCCAAGAGACTCACTTCACAACAGTGTGTGTGACTCTAGATACTGTTTTGTTGACTTACTTAACTCTAATTGTAAAAATCAGACTACAGTTTTCACTAGAAGGTAACTGAAATTTTCTCTAAGCCTTTGGCATCTTAATTTTTAGATATCAAGTTTCCTAGGTAAATCCATGATTTTATGGATACGGACTCCATGGACTCCAAGGATTTATCAAGGATAAATTATCACTCAGTCTATAATTCAGTGGTGATTCCCATTTAACAATTATTAGGTAAAATGTAGAGTCATTAGAGCTTAGCTTAACAATCTTAAGCCTGGAAGCTAAAGGGCTGAGTAACAGACAACAGTTATGTATAAGGAGGATTTAAAAAAAATTTTTTTTAATGTTTATTTATTTTTGAGAGAGAGAGAGAGAGAGAAGGAGAGAGAGAGAACTTGTGCAAACAGGGGAGGGGCAGAGAGAGGGAGACACAGAATATGAAGCAGGCTCCAGACTCTGAACTGTCAGCACAGAGCCCAATGTGGGGCTCAAATTCACAAACCATGAGATCATGACCTAAACTGAAGTCGGACACCTAACCGAATGAGACACCCAGGCACCCCAAGGAGGATTTTTTTACATTAGTCCATAAATATTTTGCTTAGTTTTAATTCTAATGTAACTATGAAACTTCCTTTCAATAAATGAATTCCCTTTAATCTAATGGGATTGCCAGATGCGTATCTTAGAGATAGATCTGTTGGGTTACCTGAGTCTCAGTGGTCTGAAACTAAGAGGTATACATATTTACTAGCAAGTCCAGAGGTCAGTCTACCCACACAACAAGAAGCCTATCTGCCAATAAATCAATAAATCAGCTGAAGTTCAACTGTGAGAAGCAGGTGAGGGCAACAAAGATTCAGCCTGAGAAATATTCTCAAGACCTTGAAAAATGGTTGGTGTGAGACTGTCTAGCCTGGAAAGCCTTCTATCCCGCTAATTCTCAGATGGTTTCTGAAGGAAAAGGTGATTAAAAAGTAACAAAAAGTCTACAAAGATGGAATTCTTATAGATGCTGAATTGAAAGACTGCTAGAATTTATTGTTATGCTTTGTTACATATTTGTCATAGAGTAGAAAATACCAGTGTTTTCCACAAGTAACTTGAATCTTCAAAAAGTAATATACACTTACCGAAAATATTGGCACCTCGCTGCCAAAATTACCCTGTGGGCAGGAAAGCGTTTCTTTTCCACAACAAATGTGACGTCGCCATATTCTTCCCCTATCAGCAAGGCACCAATGTGTTCAGACAAAATGTGCACATGATCAATTTCGCCCACAGCAGTAAAGGGGCGAAGAGGGTGACTGTTACTCATCTTGTAGAACAGGTGATATTCGCTGATCTGTTATATAAAGGAGGAATAAGAATTAGTGGGGGAGAGGGAAGTATACTTAGAAAATCACATACCACAAACATAGCTAAGCAAGAATTTAAAGTACTTTAAAAAAATTCACATGAGAGAGATTTTATCATTACTGGTATCTTTATCAACCAATTTATTCTGGGAAGTAATTGAGCCTGACTCCATTAATTCCATTCCCTTCAATGTCTTATCACACTAGGAAAACAAAAATGCCAGGTCTTCCAATACAAAAGAACTTGGAGCCATCATATTCTAGAAAACTATGCCCAAATACAGGCCCCTTATTTATCAGAACCTCAGGAAAGGAAAATCAACAACCAGAAGAACTCCTCTTTATAGAATAGATCTATTCAATGAGGTTGGATATCACTAACTATACCCAGTGAAAAGTCAACCAGGCATATATCTAGACCTAAATCACAAACAGAATTAACTAAGTCATCAGATTTCAAATAATTTCAGGGATTTTGGTCTGAAAATATCTTAAACATTTTATAAAAAAATAACCTGACATTAATGAAATCTTAACCCTCCCTCAAAAAAAAAATAACCCCAATATTTTTCTCAAGACTGTAATTTCTAGTATAAACTTGCAGCTCTGATGGTAAGATTGCTTACCAAAACATCATTACATTTAATCTCATTTATAAGCACTTCCTTGCTTTTGCATACAATGCTTTTCTACAGATGTAACTGAAAATCAAAGGGCTGAAACATCATTAATAGATTTACCTGTTTGAAAGGGGAGTTATGTTCTTTGAAAGCTAAAAGTGTTTATATTCTCCAATCTCTCCAATATTTGCAGGTACAATGTTTTTAAGGGTAAGTTACCCAGCAAGTGAGTAAGAGCATTCACTGGCATTCAGGTGCCCAAGGTGGAGATGTGGCTGACAGCTCAGCCTCTATTGCTACCCTTCTAATGCACCAGAGACTAGGGAAATGTGCCTTCTTCACTACACGTCCACACCTTCTTGAACTCTCCACTTGGACCAGGATTAAAGCTTAAGCCACTCCAATCTTTAAACTTCCGTATCTAGATCCATTATTAGCAAGGTGTACAAAAAATGGCCTCAATCCCCAGATACTGCAGTGAAAGATCCTCACAGACCAGGTTCCCCAGTTACTTGCTACTCCATGTTCACCCCCAGCAGACAGAGCACCAGCAAGGACAGCGACACAGAAGGACATGGAGGATGAGTGAGGCAAG